TATGATTATATATTTTTTAAAGTTCTGAATATTTTTGCTTAGAAGATTAAAATAGGTTATCTTAATAAAATTTTGAGTAATTTAGATTTGTTTTTTTATTCAAAATTGTTCACAATTGTTCACAATTCATCCAAAGCTGTCCCATACCAACACTGGTGAAATATATACATTTTTGTCTTCATGGCTATATGTTTACTTCTTTGTTTACATGAAGAAGTAAACATATAGCCGCGAAGACAAAAATGTACATATCTCATGATCCACTGTGTCAATTTAACGTTTCAACTTTATTAGAAGTAGAAGGTAGATTTACTTAATAAAAAATCGATTTATTCATAGAAAAACTTCAGATTCCAAAAAAGAAAAATTTAATAGTAAAAATCACATGATTTTCACTGATTCCCTCGTAGATCACTAATTAAATTTATTTATAAAATGGGAAATTCTATTTTGACCCGGGTCAAAATGACTCTCCTAGAATTTAGGGTTAGTGCAGGCCAAAATTATGTTAATGCTGGCCGGGTTTTTATATTAAAAAACCCTTGCCGGCATCAATATAATTCTGGTCTGCACTAAAATTTTGCTGAGGGTCATTTTGACCCGAGTCAAAATAGAATTTCCCTTAAAAATTTTTAAAATTTTACACAAATGATTCGTGAAACCAAATATTATTTATGAACTATTATGAACTTTTTGATTTGTTAAGAACATAATATATAAAGATTCAATACAAAGAGTAACTATTGATTATTACAAAAAATTTCAAAATATTCACTGCAAGAAAAACTTGCTTTCTCAAAAACTTTAATATTTGGTATTCATAAAATACAAAATACCATTTATCAAGCATAAAAAAAATCTTAGATACATAATTATATATATAGTAGAATAATGTTCTAAACATTTAAGCTACTAAAATTATAAGTGCATAAAACAAAAGGCAATAATTTTCTTGTACTATACAAAACTTTATTACAGAAATAAAAAATCCCATCAAAACAAAAAGAAACTATTATTAACCGAAACAGAAATGAATAAAAATGAATTATAAAGAAAAAAATATATAGTACAAAAAAAATAATTGCCAAAAAAAAAACAAACAAATTACGTGTTATTATGTTTGTAGATTTGTAGAAAAAAGAAAGATTGGTTCTATTTTTCTCAATATTAATTAATAGTATCATTGTCCAACGGAACTTGATAATAAAACATTACTAGTCAAGTAATATTTCATAATTCACTTAAAATAAGTTAACGTCTTATTGCTAAATAAATTTCTTCTTCGATATCTGATGTATCAGTTTGAATAGAACTATCATTATCAGATAGATATCTATTTTTCCTATCCCTATCGGATTGTTGCTGTTTTTCACAACTTTTTTCATTATAATCGTCAATATTTAGATTAATTCCATAAATAGAATCACAACTGAAAGTAGGATTATCTGGACTGAATATAGAAGGTATAAAAACAGCCATTGGTACAGTAATAGATTTTGGAGAAATACTTAATGTCGAGGTATTAAAAGTAGATAGACGTTCTATTTTTGTTGTGATTGTAGTATGAATTCGTTCCGAAATTGGATGCAAATTACCGTGACCTCGGAGGCCTTCGTTCATCAAATATAAAATCGCATTGCTAATTCCTCCTATATTGAAAGCTATATATAGCAACGAAAAGTAAGATAGTAATCATTGACGTTATTTGATTTTACAGTTCTCGCCATATGAAATGAGAATCGCTGTACTTTTCTGTAATTCGAAAACGCAGTTCTTTTTTTGATTTTTTGTTTGTGCTTAAATAAGCTTTATAGATTTGTAGTGTTCATTTAAGCCCACAATCATCAAAAATGGGTCTACCGATCTCGAGACATAGTGGCTAAAGTCGTTACGATTTCGATATTTCGAGAATGATTGCTCCGTTTTTGATGATCATGGCCTCAAAATAACGCTATCAACCTATAGAATTCATTTGAGACCAAAATTATCAGCACTTTGCCGGATATCGATATTGTACGTTTCTGGCCTTTCGTCAACATTCAACGCCAGCGAACGATTAGTCATCGTATTATGCTGATATCCCCCAAGAACGACAGTACCGTTGTTAATATTTTTGGGTTAAATTAATGCCATTATTCTGTAGAAAAATATACCTATCATTCTTGCGAAATTTTTGTTACACACTAACCGTTTATTTTGATTTTCGGTTGACATCGATTTCTCGAGAACGACAGGCTTATTTTTTGACAATTTTTGACTTGAATGAATTCTGCAGATTCGTGGCATTTTATTAAGCTCAGAATCATTGGCCATTTTTGAGATATTAGCATTATACTGCAACTGATCGTTCGCCGGTAGTAATTTTTGTAGAAATCTATCCATATTTCAAGAATAGCCATTATTTTTCTGACTATTTGGGCTCAAATGAGTGATAATAATTGTCGCGGATGATCGTGAAATCGGATGATTGTGAAATTTAGGGATCTCGATTTGAAAATATAAGCCCTACCAAAATCCACCTATATTCTTTTACTAATAACTCTAACCCTAAATCCTAACTTAACTATAAAAAAAAAAGCCGACAAAAAAGGCCCTAAAATTTTTAAAAATCGGACATAAAATAGATCCAAATTTCACTACCATCATCCGATTTCACGATCATCCGTGACAATAATTTTTACGTTGAAATCATTTTTGACAATTTTGGGAATCTCAGAATTTGGAAAATTGACAAAATGGAACAGCTGTTTCGATTCTCATTGCGATTATATATGGTGAGAACTGTATAATGATGACCTGATTTGATCTGCCTCTATACATAGTAAAATTTTTTTTTACTACAGAACGGAGGCAGATTTGTCATTACAGATCACAATAAGACAAGATATTTGAGAATACATACCGACAATAGCGGTAATATGCATCCAAATGTAATCATAACCAGACATGACTCCAACACCGAAGGGAATCAAGAGTAACCACCTAATCATAAAACTAATGATGTAAATCAAAATTTTTCTTGTCGCTTGTCTTTCTAATCTGTTCCATCTATCCATTCTTTCTTTACAATCGGTCAAACAATCTCGGTCAACATTAAATATAGTGGATAAAGTTTGATAATAGCCAAAACAAGTGATAGAAAAAGTCACACAAAATAAGGCAAATGCATCAATTAATAGTTCGTTTGCCTGCCTAGATATTGTCATACACCAAAATCGAGAAGGGCCCAAAGCTGGGATAGAAGGTATTGTCACTAATATCGAAGAGAGAATGATGAAAACAAAGAGTTTCCTGTTGATTTCGATAAATGAATTATGAGTCATATGATTTTCACGTGTTAAATAGGAAATACAGATAAGGATATGAATACTTACCAATCATACGTTCCTAAGCAAATGTTCTTGCCCCTTACAATTCTCTGGATATGATTAAAAGAATTTAAATAAAAAGGAAGGGATCTAGAAAATTCCAGGAAAATAAATACAAAAAAAAAATAGTATCTTACCAAATAGGTAGTCATAGCTATACTAGCCATCAAAATCATATTTATAGTAATTTGCAAAAAAAGCAGATAAGCAAGAATTTTACAACCGAATCCGGGAATTAATTGTTTGTTTATTAAAGAATACATAAAGTTTGGCATAAATACGAAATCTATATATATATATATATGTATGTATAAAAAAATATATATATTTATAGTTATATATATTTAAATATATTACATGAGAGTGATAAATAAAGAAATCAAAGCAATAAGCAAATGGAAAATCAAACCTACATTGGCATACTTCAAGAATACTGAAATATAATGGAATACGAGTTGATATTGATAAAGAACTTGCGCGCCACCTTGAGAATGCAGAATATATCTAAAATATAAAAATGAAATTTAATATAATTAAATTATACTAATAGCGTATACAATATTTTATGCTAGTGAACTTTGAATAAATACCAAACAAAGGCATGCGCACAAATTTACGTGACCAAGAATGATGGCTATAACAGCAACACAATTATTTTGATACAGGTATTCATATTGTCGATCAGTATCTTCAACATCTGAATAATAATGGTTATTTGTTAATAATTATTTGATAAAATATTTTATTAAAGATTTCTTGAATTTGTGTCACCTTGCTTTTGAGCGATCACGAAATCAGGTTTAAACGAAAAGATTAGCAAGATTGTTGATGTAGGAAAAAATGAAATTTGTTTTATTGGTAAAAAGAAATTCATTGCGTAATCATAATATTGAAGGATGGATGTTTTTTTAAAAATAAATGATCGATAACGATAATAAAAAGATACGAAAAGAAAAGATTGGATACCGTAAAGAAAGCCGAAAATGAGGGAACAAAATACAATAAAGATGACAATAAATATATGAAGATGAGAATAAATAAACGTAAATGATGAAAATAGGGTTTCGGGGCAAAGAATGTGAAATTTTAATGGCAAGCACTATGAGAACAAAAAAAAAGTGGGACAACAGAAGGAACAAAAGGCGACGAAGAAAAAAATATTGCCCTTGATCAGTCTTTCGTCTTGTCAGAAAGGCCGAAGAATAAACATGAAAAAAAATCCAAAACATGCACTTATATGCTACTTGGGACTCAAAGAAACATATAAACAAATATGCTAAACGTTAATGATTTGTAAAGAGTAAGATCGCCACTGTTTTTCAAACTTCAAAAAAGGGAATGTTATAAGTGGCGTATTTTTTACATGCATTTAATATATGCATTAGAATACATAAAATTAGTTTGTTTATTATTAAAAAGATTTGGTTTTAAACAAGTTATGTGATTTTGAAACGTCTATAACTCCCGGAGATCAATCACATAATGCAAAAAAGGATAATGATAATTCCACTATGTGTATCGGTATCCAAGGAAGTAGTAATTATTAATTTCCAGGGTGTTGGATATTTAACCCATGAATAAATGATAATTTTGAAATCTATCAATGTTAATTTTAAAATCTTTTGCAATAGGTCACTAGGGTTCGTAGATTATATAAATGAATTAAACATATCTTTACTAGAAAAGTTACTCTTAGAGTCGAATTATGATTAAAATTTAAATTTACTAGCCATCTAATCACTCAATTCGATCAATTCGAATAATTTTTTTTTTTTATTTGGTAGAAAAAGAGTACAAAACAAATAAAAAGGTTGGTTAAATTAAATTAAATCATTGGATGCCAGGGAATTTAAATTTTAATAGATGTCCCTAAAAAGTAACTTTACTGGCCCAGGCCCCAAATGTATGTTACATTAAAATTTTATAAATTATATAGCTTGTCAATGTCTTGAATTCGCTGAACGTTGAATAAAGCTACAATTGGAAATTATTTACAAAACTAGCCAATTGTAGTATAACAATGAAAAAAGTTTTATCAAGGTTGAACAATCTTGTCTGTTTAAATTCTTAAACCACTAATTTGTTGCATTATGCGCATATCCGCATCCATACTCAACTCTTCTAAAAAGTTAATAAATGGGACGGATCAAGAACTACGAGAAGCTATTTCTTTTTCTCGGGCACAGGTTAATTATAGTTAGTTAATTTTTTTTTAAAAAAAAAAATTAAAAATAAAAAATAAAAATAAAAATAAAAAAAAATAAAAATAAATAAATAAAAAATTCTTGAGAACAAAGAATTTACTTGTAAGAGAAGTACCCATGTCTAAAAAAAACAAACATGTATGCTTGATGCTTGCATTGTGGGTAAATTTCAAACATATATTGATCCTTCATATGCGAGAGATGCGAGAAATGCGAGAGAACCGTGCTACAAACTTTGCAAACGCCATGCAAAAGCACTCTCTTAAACCGATAAATCATCATACATACGAATACATGGATACGAATATTGATCTCTAGAGTAAAGAGTAATCTTCCACTAATGTCAATACGACCAGGTTGCTGGCTGCACATAATGCACTGCATGACATCTTTAATATTACATTACGCCCATGTAACAGATTGCAAATAAGCACGATAGCTATCATAAACTTATTAAGCTTTAACCGCCTTAATTCCAAGCTTTAACTTCCGGATTTATTCTAACCGCTTTTTTATCTTCTGTATTTGCATTGATCTTTTGCATATACATGGTTAATATGGTTAGAGATCCCGAGAACTATTAAACTTGACATAAGTAATTATTGTAATTATTATACTATAATTATTGTAATGATTATAATAAAGTTTCTTTCGTATTTGAATGTGTTCCGGAGGAAATAATTTTTTTAAAGTTCAAATATCAGATTAGGTTCAGGCGGGTATTATCGCTATATATTTGATTTGTTTGTAAAATTTATGGTAAATCTATATCAAATTATATTCAGATCATATGATAGACATCAGTTTATATCCAAACAGAAAATTAAAATTATACGATGGCCAATTGGTTTTATTTATTCATATGAGTTACTACCATACAAGACTTTATTGATATTATATTTGTTATCATTTTCTTTTTTAAAAAAAAAAATAAAAAAAATCTATATATATATATGCATGTATACATATATTTGTTTTTTTTTAAAAAAAAAAAGTATAATTTGTTGGTTTCTTGTGTAGATGATGGTTCTGATGGCTGATGGGTCCC